TACTTAGCACGGATAGGACATGGTTTGTTCCTTTCATCGGGTTTAGGGTTTCCGAGGCTTTCGTTTCGGGCATAGGCGAGGGGGTTTGGATGGTGTCTTTGTTTTTCCCGATGGCTCCAAGCCCACAAATCCGCCATGCGATGCACACAGGCCTTGTCCCTGAATTCCTCATGCCCGTAAGCCCTAAACCCCTAAACTCTGAACCCTGCGCACTTAGCCCATCCACCACTGTCAAAGAGGAAAAGCAAGTTTTACACCCACAAGACACAAGCCTCCCAATCCGAAGCCCCTGAAATGCAGGCCAAGACAAAGGACGGCGGGAAAGAAAGGCTTTGTGAGGCCTTCGGCAACTTGGGGTACAAGGCTTCAGGGGTTTAGGCTTTCTAGGATTTCGGGCTTTAGGGGCGCAGGGCATTTAGGGTTTCGGGCATTACTAAACCCTAGGGGTAAGGGTTTAGGCTTTAGGCACTGATAGAAATTTCCAGAAGGCCATAAGGGCCCACATGTTGTGTGGATTGTTGCGGTACCCCAAAAGGACTAAATGCCCAGCATGTGGACATTTTGGGTTAGTTTACGCGGTGGGGTTTAGGGTTTCGGAAGCTTCAGTTCAGCGGCCGAATTTTATGGTTTCGGATGTTGAGATTTGGGTTCGCGGCTTTTGAGAGTTTGCATCCCGACACCTCCCCAAACCCTGAATGCTAAACAGCCCCGAACACTGAACCCTGAGCCCTGAACCCCGCTGTCACCTTAAACGCTTTCTATCCCATTCTATCCCCCCAAGATCGTTCTTGAAACCCTGTGGGCCTCACTTTGGACCCTTGAAGGACCCCTTGAAGGGAAACCTCAAAGGGAACCCTTATAGATCCCGTCAAAAAAAGAACCCTTTGTGGGAACTCGTATAGATCCCTTAAAGGAACCCTTAAATGGAACCCCTACAGGCCCCTTGAAGGAAGCCTTATAGATCCCTTCAAGGAAGCTTTAAAGGACCTCTTTGAAGGAACCCTTAGAGGGAACCCGCATAGATCCCTAAAAAGGAAGCCCCAAAGGTTCCCCCGGTAGGGGTTTGGGCTCAGGCCGGGAAGCTTTCTGAGAGCCTGCAACTAATGTAGGAGCTTAAATAATTTAATATCCAATGTTATTTTTGGGAGCTCCTTGATTATCATTAGAAGTTATAGTATAAGATATCCCCCAAAACCCTATTCTATTGATTAAGGCCGCGTTAAACCCTAAACCCCTAAACCCTAAACCCCTGTATTGGGCCGGGAACTTCGAGAGCCTGCAGCTAGGCAATTCACATCGCTGCGGGTAGCGGCAACCACGAGCTCCCTGGCCTAAAGTTTTACCTGAAGCTACCAAAACCTACTTTTTTGTAGGGCCCCTATAAATTCTATTTTAGGCTTTCTAGTAAGGACCTACGAAAAAGTAGGTTATGGTAGCTTAAGGTAGGATTTAGGGATAGGGTTTAGGGTTTTGGGGTTTGGGGTTCGGGGTTTAGGGTTTAGGGGCTTTAGGGGATACAATACTTTCAGAAGGTTTCCTGACAATGTGTCATTATGATCAGATGCCCTCAGGCAAAATGCGAGTTATTCAGTCTTCCATCTTTTAGTTGGTACCTTCGCTTATTGCTTCTTGGCTTATTCATTGATCCGTTTGCTATGCATTGGCTTGCTTGTTCTTCCATATGCGAATTGTTCATTGGTTTAGTTGGTCAGGTATGTACCTGTTCGTGTTATCATTCGACTTCGCCTTCTTTTTGATGTGTCATTAGACCTCAACCCTAAAGCCTAAACCTTCAACCCTGTAGTTCCTAAACCCTCAACCCTGAACCCTACTTGGAGGTTCATGGGCAGTTGTAAATGGGGTTATAAGTAGGGTAACTATACATATTAGGGGACTATAACTACCAATGAACCTCCAAGTGCAACCAAAAACGGTATGCCCGGACTTCCCAAGCCCACGGGGCAAAGGATCGTTCGTCTCTTGGTGGAGAACAGCGCGAACCCCGAGTCGGAGGCCTTGGGGCGGTTTCCCAAAAAATGTCCTATGTACTGCGGTTGATGATATAAATTCTGCATTACCCATGTTCCTTTAAGGGTTCCATTAAGGGGTCTATAGGACTGTAGTGTTTAGGGGCACCTTGATGATATAAATCCAGCATTACCCATAATAAGGAATATACCATCATTCCGATAGTTTAGGGTCTTTAAGGCAATGCAGGGTTTATATCATCAGCAGTAGGCTTTTGGGTTTAGGGTTACTGTCATGGATTCCTGTAAGGATTCTATAAGGTTTCTTTGGGTGCCTTTCAGGGTTCCTTTAAGTTTACGAGGGATACTTGCCTCATTCATAACCGTTAGTTAGTAATTCCTAATGTGGAGATTCTATAAGAATAAGACAATAATGTACATCGGACACTTTGGGGTTTCTTGCGTTTTGATTCCACTCTGGACTTGGGGCTTCTAGGCGGAGGTTACAGGGGGGAAACGTGGCTTTGTGACTGGTCATTGAGTGTATCGGCTTTACCGCTACACCCCCCATGGTTAAGAGTTCATTACCTACTATTTCTGTAGGCTGGCCGGCTTCAGGTGTTACTGTAAGGTGTTCCGAAGCATTAAATAAAGTCCTGAGACTTGGGATACAATGAACCCTAAACCCTAAACCTGCTGGATTGTCTCTAATAAATCTAAAAGCTGGAATCTCGAAAGAGAAGCCGAAGGCCTTGCAGAACGCACATGATCCCACAGCGTGTACTATTATGGGGGATACTTCCCTAAATCATAGTGGTACTTCCTAATATAGAACCCCTACATTCTACTATACAAATACATAGGGCCCTTTGGGGATTGACGGGGAGTGGAGCAGAACACGGGCATCTGCAGTTTTCCAACCCTTTTTCGCTGGACTCCAGGCAAGGAGCCCAACACCCGAAAGCGTGAAGTTAGGCCGACTGCCTCCCAGGCCCAAAACCGCACAAACAACAGTGGCAGCACAAAGAACCGTAGGCCAAGATAAGCCGAGCTAAATCAACCCCCAGAGCCCCAAAAACCGGAGATGCTTCCCGGCCAGGCAACTGTTGATGGCAAGCTCCACTACTACCCCATTCACGATGCAGCTCCTCGACTGGAATACCAGAGACTTGGTGTCTTTCAGGGTTCAGGTCGTGGGCTTTTGTGTTTTACCGGGTCTTCAAGGTATCCTGAATCCCTAAACCCTAAACCCGAGCATCATGGACATGCAGGTTGAGGCGATAACGGAAGGCAATTTGAGGGGATTAGGGTTTTTTGTTTTGCGTGAAGAGAGCCCGCAGAAACACTGCGCTACATAGTCCCACAAAGAAAAGTGCCCCAACTCTTATCAGTAGGTTTCCACAACACATGAACCTGAAAACATCGTAACCTCCAAAAAGTTGTTGAAAATCCGCTGTATCAGGACCTCTACATTTTACATACTTAACATAAGCCTTAATTTGAAGGCTACCCTGCCCTGCCCTGCTCTAGTAGTTGTCTCCGCTGCCGTAGCGTAGTGGTAGGACGTAGGCCCTTAAGGCAGCGGAGCCCGCTAGGGTCATGAAAGCCCTGAGCATCCAACCCTTTTGAGGAAGAGCCTTGATCTGAGGGTCTTTGCCCGGCGAAGTCTTCATCCTTAAAGCCTCTAAACCCTGAACATCCCTGGCAAACGAAGGGCAGGGAGTCTGCGTTCGGAAAGTCCCTTTAAACAAACCCAGAACATCCCTAAATCCCGAGATGTAAACCGTATGAAGATTTCGGGCTTCTTTGGGGGCTGTGGCAGGTCGACACTTCCGTGCGGTCTGTTTAGGAACACAATAACTACATAAAGTCTCCGAGAAGATGTCCCCCCCACAGCCTTAAAAGCTGTTCAAAAAAGCACTCCTAAGGGAGGTTTCAGGGTTCAAGGAGAGCTTACGAAATTTATGGAGATCGTCCTTTCGAGGTTGCCCGCCAAGGTCCTTGAAGGGATTCTATGATTCGTGCAGCTTCCTACTCGGGTTTAGGGTTTAGGGTGTTGATCCATCTTGTTCGTCCCGGTTTCCGTCCAGAAGTTTATGGGGACTGGGGGTTTAGCGTGGCAAGGTTCGCCGGTCTTACGTATATGGCAGCCGAAGTGGTGTGCTCATTAACAGTTAACACGTGTGTCACACTCTCTACTGTACTGTAGTTGTTGCTCACCACGTTCTTTGAGGGCGTCGTGTTGCGTCCTCGTCCCGGATGGATGCAAGTGCTCGAATTCTGGTGATGAGGTGTGTGTTCGTCTGTTCTACTCAGGGCACTTTAAGGCCCCACCTGCAGTCTCCATTGTAGTCCCTTGTTGGGGTTACCTCATCGGATCCTAAATATAGAATCGGCTAAGCCAGAAAAGGAACTGCCATGGAGACTATCGGTAAACCCCAAAGGCCCCCAGCCCTAAAGTATTGAAATAGTGCTTTTCTATACTCCAAACCCTAGAATCCTGAAGCCCTAACAGCTCACACCCTATAATCTCTACCCTAGACATCCCTAGGCCATAAAAATTCCTGGATTTTTAAAACAAATGCCCGCATCCTGAACCCAAACCCTAGAGACTTGATTGTCTGTTCTATCCCAGAGCTGTGTTGGCCCTTGCAAATCAAATCGGCAGAGCCAGCTCAAGGGGCAAAAGTTGTTTCTTCTGCAGAGCCACGGTTTAGGGTTTAGGGTTTAGGCTAGTTTGAGGCTTTTTTGGTGCTGATTACATAGGATAGTTAGTTATCAAATTAGGAACTACAATTACAAAGGGGATAACTCTACTTCACTATTCAGATCCACATAGATAGTCTATCGTAAGTAGAATGCGCTGGAGTTTAGCTGCGGAGTTTTTGGGGATCTGCGAAGGGCTCTCGAGCTGATTCTGGCCGTGAAGCTGCTCAATAACCTACCTTTTTCCGGGTATTATCCTGAATTCCTTGTAATTAGAATTCCTTAAAGTATAGTAGATATAGATTTTTGGGCCTCGAAGCTGGAGCCATGCTTCGTCCGCTAGCGCTGCTTGCTTGGCTCGCCGGCGCAGTTGCATTGCCATCGTCATGCCGCCAATACTGGGAGGATCCACAGATGAGGGCACATCTCTTATGGCAGAGTCTACGTTGTGTGGGGCAGGCCGGCGCTGAGATAAAACACGCCGAGCACTGTATGGGTATAGTTTGCACTTGGACCGTGATCAGGGCAGAGACTCCGGAATGTGCGACGACGGCCTCGTGCGCAGCATCTTGCGATAAGGCGGAAGGTTGTAGCGACTTCAGCCGCTTCTGTGGCGCCATTACAGCCCAGGGTTCCACCTTCTTTCTTTCCGCTGCACAGGACCAACCCCTCGCAAACTCCACGGCCCTCATGGGCACTACTTCGGCTAATCGCAGCGTGCAGGCTAATCCTTCCACACACATCCAGAAGTTACTGCTCCACTACACAGCAGTAAAGGCCTGCATCACTGTTACAGTAATTTTGGGCTTAGCCTTAGCCTTTACAGCCTTTTGGGCTAGGAAATCCCGGCCCGAAGGGGCAGAGCCCCTGCTGGGCTAAGTAGGCTTGCACTTCTGCTCCGGCCATACCGGCGTTACCGGTGTTTCTGGGTTTTGTTTTGCCTTTGGGGTGATTCGAGGATTTCGACGGCACTCTGGGATACCAAATAGACCCTATGTAAATCAAGGTTTAAGATCAATGACTCATTCGTAAGATGTCGACTGCTCTGAGCAGTGAAAAGCTCGCATGCTTTGTATGTTGCGGCACGTCACAAGGTCCTGATCACGGGGTTCAGAGATTTGGTGTTTGAAATATTGGGGCAGTATGGCACATCCGGGCTTTGTGTGATCTGTGCTCGTTAATGACACAGGCGTCGCAACATCCGAAGCATCACGAGACAGGCCGTCTCCTTATGCAGCTCTGTAGAATTTACAAAGCTGTTCCGAATGCCGTCGTGGATGAAAGGTGCACAGAGCCTTGAAAAACGATTTCGCTCGGAAGGGCGGATTGCCGACAGCGGGGGGCGGCCTGAGTTGTTCAAGAGCCGATTTGCGCTAAACTCTAAACCCATACTTGGAATGTACAGGGGCTATCTGTACTCTTGTCGTTTTGGGCATATGGTCCATACAAACAGAGGTTGTAATCAACCCCAAAGCGGTAGGTTCGGGCTGTAGCCTTCAACATCCTTCAACTTAAACCCGAGACCATGAATCCCGTACGGGGTCCCTTTTCGGAGCAGACGTTAGAAGAATAAGGATCCTTACGTAGCACCCCATCACATATTCGGAGAGTCCTTCATGTGCTGAACTCTCCGCATGTTGAAGAAGCATAGACGAAACTTAGTTTTTACTTCTTCCTGGTCAAGACCATAGCAGCCCTGTGTCCTGATGCCCGATCGCGGAAGTAATAGCAACATCCGCAAGTCAAAAACCCTGAAGCCACAACCCTCCGGTATATGTGTGTGTGTGTGTGTTTGTTGTTGCTTGCTTTCCATGCGTTCTAGCTAGAAGGTTAGGAATGTGAACGAATGAACCCTTACAGTATCATAACTCTTTCCCAGCCTTTAAGAGTTCCTGCAAGGGCTACCATAAGGTGCTGTTTCTAGGAGGGGTCCTTTAAGGGCTCCTTCAAAGAAGCTCTATTCTGTTCATAATTAAGGCTCCGATATCAACCAGATAAAGTCGAAACTCTAAATGCCAAACTCTTACAGCAAGCCATTCTTAAGTCGTACCCCTAAAACCCCAAACGCCTTTATAGAGCCCATGTAGATCCCTTATATATAGGGACCCTAAAAGATCCCTTGAAAGGAACTCTTATGGAACCCTGCAACCATCTAGTCACCAAGGCCTAGGACATTTTCAGGTGGGTAGTTACCGTTATAGGAGCCTTATAGAAGGTCTATATACCTTATAGAAGCCTTATAAAAGCCCTATATACCCTAAGCTGCCCACCTGTAGTTTCCTTTAACAAGGTCTGGTTCAACCAGATCAAATCGGTGAAGATGCTCCTCCAGAGGAAGGCAAAAGTCCACGCTCCTCTGCTGCCGTTTGGTTTGTTGCTTTTCTGTGGGATGGAGCGCATATTTGTTTTTTTTAGTTTTTCTTTTGTAGGATGTACGTATATCTGGTTTTGGGGTTTAAGGGTGGAGTTTGAGGGTTTTTAGGGTGTATAGGGTTTTCGGGGTGTGTAGATATTGGTAGGATTTGGTAGGTCTTAAAGGCATCAATAAAGTGTGTACGGTTTCGGGCTGGGCACTTTTTTGTTTAAGTTTGTAGAGGTGTTTGCAGCCACTTTGAATAAGCATCTGTTCATTCAAGGTTCAGGACTAAAGGTCTCGCGCGGGCTCCCGAAAGCTTGATGCTCTAAACCCCGACCCCCAAAACCGACCCTCCCCTCAACAACAACTACACCGGAAACCATGGATGTTTAAGCAAGCAGTTCTAGTGCCCTTTTCAAAAAACGGAAGCCGTACGACACCCCTTACACGGAGCACTTAAAAACACCAACTTCGACATGCAGAGTCCTCTAAAGGAAGCTCTGCAAGGGTAGTTCTCTATTTTTCGGTCCGTTTTAGGTCCCCACTAGAGTACGCCACCCCAAAAAAAGGACCCCGAAAAAGGGGACCCTAACTTAGAGAACTACCCCACAGGCCCTCATCTTCCCAAGGCTGAAAACAACGATAAGAACACCGCGCTACACCTGGCAGCGATGCTGGGCCACGCCGGGCCCTCTCACCGGGTCGTCCCAGGATGAAACTAAAGATGTCTCTCGGTTTAGGGTTTATAGGGCTTAGGGTTTATAGGGTTTCGGGGTTTGGGGGTTTAGGGTTTCGGGGTTTAGGGGTTTAGGGTTTGGGGTTTAGGGTTTAGGCAGGGTTCTTGGTTCGGTGGTAGGGCATTCTGTGGACACTATCTTCTAAGGTCAAAAAGCCGCTGTTTTTTTTTCCATGGGTCTTATAGTCGAAAGGGAAGGGCCCCAGGTTTACGGGTTTTTGGGGTTGGGGTCTGTTTTTTTGTTAGAGCTTCGTGACGTCAGAAGCCTCACTTTAGCAAGCTTGAACGCCAGGGGAAGGTTTGTTGAGATGTTCCTTGACATCATTCCCTAGGGCTCCAGTTACCTATATAGTAGGTTACCAGCCATATGTTCTGAAGCCCATTAACCCATTATTTTGGCACCTGGAGCCCTAGGGATTCTGTAGCTCTTTACCCAAACCTTCCCAACATTTTGGGGGGACCCAGAAAGCTCGGGTTTGGGATGAGACTCCGATCCGCACTAGCCAGGTGTTGTGTACATCCTTTAAAACACGTATGAATGAGGGTTCTTCTTAAAATTCTTACAGGATATTCCGAATATATTCCTGAATCACCGCGTTTGGGCGTCTACTGGTTCCTCGGATCCTTGGGAGAATATACGAGCCTCGCAAGGCAGAAGCCCGGCACGTGCTTTCTTCGGGGCGTGTTTAGGGTTTAGGGGTTCCCAGAGACTCCAACACCGCTTTCAAGAACCTACCTTGCTAATACTTCCCGGATCCCTCCATAATCTGGGGTGCTTTGCCCCCTAAGCTTCAGGCATCATGAGTTGGCGCTTGTGGGTTGGAGTTTAGGTTTATTAGGGCCAGGTTTTGCGTTCGGAATTTGGGCCATGGCCATGGCATTGCTGGATTTGAATTATGGTTTAGGGTGCAGTGATCAATTTGAGACAGCTTTTGTATTTAGTGCTCCTTTTCTTTCGGAAGGGTATGCACGCTACGCTGGTCTCTCGCGTTGTATTATGTACTGCAGATACTTCATACTTCAATTGGTGAATGTCTGTGCGTTCGTCTACCTACCTACTATTGCGTGTTTCGCCATTACGTACAGACACACCTGCTGATGGTCAATATGGTTACAAGGGGATGTCCATATAGCTGATATAGCCTTGTTTACAGACTAACATGAATCAGGATGGTGTGTGGGTTCTGTCAGCTCTTCAGGGTACCTTCGAGTTGCAATGGCATGCGTACGGCTTGATGAACTAGTTGCTTTTCTGGGCTTAGGAGGTAGGGAGAAGGGTGCATGGCTTAGAGTTCAGGGCTTATGGCCTAGGGTCAGGGTTTAGGATGATGTGTATACTCAACTCCTACTAAAATATCACCTTATACTCACTTAGACCCAACACTCTAGCCCTAAGCCGTAAACCCTGCCCTGCCCCCCCTCGAACACAAAAAAAGCAGACTCTACGATGGAATCAGCTTTTCTGAGATTCCGAGGACGACATGGTTGAGTTCTTGCTGTACGAGCGCACGACCTTTCTGAAGATGAAGGAAAGAGGGTTTAGGGCTTTAGGGCGTTAAGGGTTTGGGTTTAGGGCCTAGGGGTTGAGGGTTTAGGCTTTAGGGCTTCGGGCACCAGGGTTTTGGGTATCGGGTTTAATCTTTAGGGCTTATATGACCTGCATCTAGCCGCTTGTCCTTCAGACTTCACGTACCTATGTTGCGCCCTACAGTCTATGAGCAGGACCACTTTGGGCTAATTGGTCGGATCACCAACTTCTGTGCCATGATAACAACTTACTCTGACAGCTATCGCCATTTGTTACCATGTATATAAATGACTCGTAAAATTTACAGACAGACACGAGTATACGTAGATGCAAACATAGTGTGTACATACTCCTTTTTTACCTTTATAAGTTGAACGTACGCACAAATACATAAACATATACACACACGTGTCTGCATGTATACATTATACATATCTGAACACTGTTTACTCCTTCATGTCCGTGCGTGCGCCCCCCGATAAATCCAAATGGAGGACGGGACCTCGAAGAAGGATGGGGCGAAGCGTGAAAACAAGCTCCTGGTGACCAGCTTTCCGGACGCAAGACGACCAGGACCCTCCCTTTACCCATAGGCCCCTAAGTAGTTCCTTTTTGGGATTACCTTGTAGGATTCTAAATATCAACAAAAAGGAACTAGTTAGGGGTGTGTGGGCACTAGTAGGTATCTAGAATTATAAAGGGTAGAAGAGGGTCTAGGTAGGCGTTCTGGGCTTTTGGGTTTCAGGGAGTGAGGAAAGGGGGTTTGATGTTTCAGGTGGCTTTAAGGCACGTCGAAGAGGCCCTTACTCTCCGTATGCGTATTAAATTATATATATATATAGCCTACATCTTGTAGGCTCTCATTGTGTAACCCCAATAGACGATGTAGTGTGACCCTACAAAACATGGTAGGTTCTGTTAGTTGAAGATAGGGATCTAATGTACCGGGAAAAGTTGTCTTCAGCCTTCATGAACCTCTCATCTTTATTCTCATGAGATCCTGTAGACATCCTTGATTTAGAGTTTATAGGGTTTATAGGG